TTATGAACAGGGAGCACGAGGGGGTTGAAGATCTCATGTGTGGCAATGTTGGAGAGACCAATTGATTCAGGAGATTTCACATGTGAGCATGGATTTGATGAGGTGTTCATGAAATAACTCCCATGCTCATCAATGTCATCTTTCTTTTTAAGCTCCAAGGATGTTTCTTTCTAAATATGCAATATTTTCCTTGGATTGATAGCTCTCGGGTTGATCTCGTCTAAGGCTTCCTCCAAACTTGGATGAGTCATGTTTATTAAAGAGGTTGATTTAAGCTCACTATTTGAATATAGGCCAAGTTTGGATTCTACCCATAAGGCTTCGTCCTTATCCATCCATTCTTTAGCAATGGCATATGAATTCTTAATACATTGTAGCCAATTCTTAATACATTCCAGCCATTATCGTTGCTCTTCTTGGTCATCCTTATGGTCTTCATGACTCCTATGCTTCGATTGTCATAATGGATTTCTAGGGTCATCATGAGACTTAGGAGAGAGCATAAGAGGGATCATCGGGGTCAAGGATGGATTGAGAGATGGGTTCAAATAAGACATCTAATGTGGGCATAGAAGGGGAGAGGATAGGAGTGGCTTCTAAATGGCTAGGCTCTCCTTCTATTACATCACTAGATATGCCATCCTTGAATTATTTCCAATGTCCCACATGGGAATAAGAACGCTTTCAAAGAGATCCCTTCTTGAGAGGATTTGAATTATATTCGCTTGAAGGTCTCTTATGAGAATTTAATGCTCTCCCAAAATCAGCACCAAAGAGGTCATCCTTAATCTCAATAGAGATTTCCAAAGGTGGAATTCATTCTTCTTTTGGAGGATTTTGGGGTATTGGTGGCTCAGGATTGATAGCAAAATCTTAGGATTAAAGTGGTTGTGATTTGGCTATCAAAGCTTCCTCTTCTTGATCGGGAGAGGATTCCTTCTCTTCTTCGAGGAGTTCATAATGAATGCTAGTGCAGGGAGTCTTTCCACTAATTCTATCAAGCATAACCCTTGCTTCGCTAGCAAACAAATTAAGGAAAGCTCCTCTAGAGGCTGCATTAAGGGATTCCCTGGAATCCTTGTTAAGACCCATGTAAAAATGTTGAAGAAGTACAGGGTCTTGAATGGCAAGGTCCATGCCAGTAATGATTAGTTCATTAAAATGATCCCACGATGTACCAAGAGATTTTTCTTCTAGTTGTCTAACATTTAGAACCTCTTTTCGAAGGCTGACTACCTTAGAGATGGGAAAGAAACGTAAACAAAATTTAGAGCATAATGTTTTCCAATCTCCTTGCATACTTGCTACGGTTAGGCTGTACCATTGTTTAGCTCTTCCCGTCAAAGAGAACAGGAATAACTTCTATCTTAACATTTTGTCAGACATGCCAACGATACGTAAGCATGCACAGATCTGTTCAAACTCCCATGGTGCGAGTATGGGTTTTCATCACCTTCTCTCGAGAAGGATTTATCCTGAATCAGTTTTATCAAATACAGGCGCAGCTCATAACCAGGTGCTATGATAGGGTCTGAGGATTCATGTGGCTTTAGGCTTGCGCACGTGGGTTTAGCATATTGATAGATAGGAGTGGAATCCATGCTAAATGAAAAAGTAAAACAAAAGAAAGAATAAAAGATAAAATGTTAAGCTAGGCTCATAGTTAATTCAACAACCGTTTCCCAAGCAACGGGGCCAGAAAGCTTATTGGTATATTTTTAACGCACACAGATAAATCCGCAAGCGCACGGATACCGCTGTAGCTTTCACTCGGAGGTATTCCAAGTATCGTATCCATAGGGAAACGTGTGAGACTAACTGCGGTCTAACTTAACTAGGGGTAGCAACAAGGTAAGGATAAATAGGAGTATAGAGAAGATCACAAAGGTCTTCTAGTTCTAACTTCGGTAAGCTATGTCTTCTATTGTTCAACTGGGGATATTACTAAGGAAAGCACAAGTGGAGTATGTTTTTCTATAGTAACTAAATCATGCTAGGCCTACAAACGGGAGGTGGACTATAGAGGATTCAACGAGGCTATAAGAGTCACCCTCGCGAGCTACCACCTTTCTGAAATATAGGGTACATCCACAAGTAACCCAGTTTAAGCACCACACTTACACCTACAATTACCACTTTAACCTAGAGCGTCCTATAGATTAAAGCACTCAAAGAGTTGTGAACCTGATGAGCAATATAAACACGATGCTTACTTGAATTAGAAGTTGATTACTAGAAATCCTCAGAAGCAAGCTCAAGTAGAACTTGGATCCGCCAAGGTGCAAGCCGTAGAGTGAGCACCGACAGGCCGGCACCTCCTCCAAACTCTTCCCTCACTCTCTATCTCACTATTCTATTTATAAGACTAGATCCTATAGAGGACTAATCTTCTCTTGATTGCTGGCTCTGATCCTGAAGATATGAATTAAGATTTCAGGGATCTGCTAAGGGAGGGGGGGCAGGGGCTGATATATATAGGCCGGAGCGTCTATCGTGAGCCCTTGGATCAAACCGACTTAAAGAACGACGTAGATGCAACCAAGGAGGCGGTGGAGAACCGACATAACAAAGCGGAGGCTGACAGGTGGGCCCAGGGGCCGGGCAGCCTACAAGTGAGGCCGGCCAGCCCCACATGGCATCCCCTTGGCTCCCGCTTCAGTGTGGTGTCCTCTAGAGTCCTCTGGAACCTTCTGATGCCCGTTTCGCGGTGGATAAGCACGATTAATTCTGACATGTATGTTTCTGGATAAACCCTGCAGAAAATATAGATTCACCAAAACTCGTGAAATTTGTTAGTTTAAACCCCTACACCTTTATTGGTGATCCCAATTGTACTCTTATACATGTTTTATTGACGGTTTATAATGGTTGTTAACTACTGTCAAGACCAACCATTAGAACAGTGCCATCCGGTGCTCCAGTCTAGTGCCTTCTGGCTGAACCAACTCTCTGCTGGAATAGGACGAAGGCCTTGTCCTGTGCACTAGACGTGTCCGGTGCCTTGCTATCTGGTGTACACCGCCCTGTCCACTACTCACCTGGTTGCAACTACCCCATGACTGACACTATTCCCTGTCTGGTGCTCCACACTGGACATGTCCGGTGCTGCCTGTCCAACCGCATTTTCTTTGGTTTTTTCGCGTGTCTTCGTCTCGGCCTCTTCATCTTTGCGTTTTAGAAGCTTCACTTCTAAGTTGATCACACATCCTCTAGTGTCTTTCTTTGAGTGTTGGCCAAATTCTTCACGTTCCAATCTCGGTCCAAGTCCGCATGTGCATCCTATTGAACTACAAACAAACACTTGTAAATTCATTAATCCAACTTGATCTTATTGTTTATCAAACACCAAAGTCCGAACTAAATAGGCAAGGGTCCATTTTCCTTACACGTGGCCACAGTCAGCCCGCCACACCATCTTGTCACTTGCGCCATATTTTAACTATATCCCACACGGAAGTATCCCTAGGCTTGCTAGGCTAGCCGCTACAAGCTGTGTTTGCCAACATTTCATCCTATGATCTTGTCATACATCGCAACATTCACTACCAAGCAGGGCCAACCACCGCACTCTGTTGCAGGCAGCCTAGGGCAACACTCATATGACACCCTAGATGCCCCCACGTCAACTATGAACTAGCATTATGAAAGAACCACCACCAAATGCATCACCTGATGCAATTGTCAGGCATCGCCACTCATTGCAGCCCCCGCCACACAACCACTGGTCCCACACTCCTTTGTGCCTGAACTCATCACTAGAAGCCCTCCCAATTTCCCATGCACCATCAAAGTGACCCCCTGTGCTAGAGTATGTAACCATTGTCATATTTCTACATGTCATCGAGCTCGACCTTAAGTTGTGAGCTTCCCTCTGCACAAGTCGCCTTCAAGCCATTCTCCCTACAACCACCACCATAGCAGACCATAGCTGTCGCGACCACTGTGAGGACACATATCCTGCCTGGCCTCCAACCCTTCTGCACACGAACCCTTCTCCCTACACACAGGCTTGTGTTGTTAGCCTCCATAGTGCGAGCACCACACCATTCACCTCCACACCACTCCTCCATGATATGAGGCCAAAACTTCTACTAGATCAGGATGACAACCCTAGATTTGAGTGGTTGTGCCCTCATGTATACCTCGCTAGGGCAGAGGAGAGATCTCAGCCACTGCCATCCATGCCTCCCGTTGGGCTTCTTGCATGAAGATACAACACCTGCAAGGCCGAGCAGGAGTTAGGATAAGGCTCAACAGTGCCAAGATTGATCACCGCCGAAGAGTCGACACGGGTGATAATATGGTCAACTGTACATAATGGCCTTGGATTAACTATGGACCATTTTCAAAACTTATATTTGCACTTGAGTCTTTATTCTTAAGAACTTACTTCTAATTAAGAAAGGAGCATCTCCATCGAATTGAGAAAACATAATCTCCTATACTTAAAAGGAATTGAGAAAATAGGATTCGCGGGAGACTAAGAAAGCCTCATTCCATTACATCCACTAATATGTGGGACCCATGTGTTAGTGGGTGAATAATTTTCTCTCTCTTTCTCTCCCTTTCTCCTCTTGGTGCCCTACTACCGCCATCCCCCTCCCCGACCCCTCCACACACTCTCTATCCATCTTGAATGAATGCAGCTTTGGCATGACAGCGGCTTGGTGGTATGTGGACAACCATTACGACATAGGTGAGTACACCTAGTGTAGAGCGTTAGAGAAAGAAAGTGGATGGATAGGTGTCGTCCTTTCTTTACTGGATTGGGAGTTGTTTTTCTCAATTGGGGAAATATTTTGAAGAAAGGGGACATTTTCTCAATCTACTGGACCGTGTTTCTGCCCCCTGCATCCCCTATATGATATATCCTTTCTCATTTTGATTGGCATGCTCTAACTATAGATTCCACTTAGTAATAATGTTAGCCTTTCACCAGAATTTGAACTATATTAAGTCCATCTTTTCCTTATGGATATGTTTTGTTTGTTTTGTGATAGACAACAGTAGTAGCAAAGAAGAGGACAACGAATATTTTCAGTCCGAGCAGCTTAATCTAGTTGTGGTGAGAGCTGCAACAAACAATTTCTCAGATGAAAACAAACTTGGAGAAGGAGGTTTTGGAGAAGTGTTCAAGGTACATTTTTCTTTATATAGACACATAAAGAGATGTTACAACATATTCAGTCATGACGTGCTATTATCGTGAATTAGCAGTGTGTACTGTGCAGTACTAGAGTGTTGGGTTGTCATTTTAACTAAAAGGCACAATCAAATATGCGAGTGATTTTGTCAAAAATGGTAGAACTGTTGCTTTGCTTTGTGCAGGGTACACTACAAGACGGGAAAGAGATAGCTGTCAAGAGGCTTTCGCAGAATTCTTCACAGGGGTTCCACGAGCTTAAGAACGAGCTCGTGTTGGCTGCCAAGCTCAAGCACAGGAACCTGGTGGAGCTCCTGGGGGTCTGCCTGCAAGATGAGAAGCTGATCATCTACGAGTACATGCCCAACAGAAGCTTAGATACCTTCCTTCTCGGTAGACACAAAATCAAACAACAGTCCAAATTCAAATTAGAGAACTCACATGGATTTTATTCATCCTCTAATCTAATTGAGTCTCTTCTTGTGAACATGCAGATCCAGGAAGACGGCAGCAACTAGAATGGAGCAAAAGGTTTGTCATCATCTGCGGTATTGCACGGGGACTTCTCTATCTTCACGAGGAGTCCCGCATGAAGGTCATCCACAGAGATCTGAAGCCGAGCAATGTGTTGCTTGATGCGGATATGAACCCTAAAATTTCAGACTTTGGCATCGCCAGGGCTTTCCACGGAGACCAATCTAGGGACATAACAAGACGACCTGTCGGAACCCTGTAAGTACCAACAGCTGGGCAATGTGCCAATTGATATACTAATTAGCAATAATAAGCTCGATTAATTCTTACTACCTCCATCTCTCAAAGAGTGTTATTCTAGGTTTGCAATAAATCGAACGTTCTTATGTTTGACTATTTATAGAAAAAAATATCAACATTTATATCTTCTAATAGATTAGCTATGAAAATAAATTTCATAATTCATCTAATAATACTTATTTATACTTCATAAATAGTTTTTTAATATATATTTAGTTAAACTTTAGACTATTGACTTGCCGAAAAGCGAGAATGAGACTCTTTGGGGACAGAGGCAGTAGTTACTGATCTTGATAGCATGTTGTTGATGCATGCAGCGGGTACATGTCCCCAGAGTATGCCTACTGGGGTCATGTCTCCTCCAAGTCAGACATGTTCAGCTTCGGTGTTATAGTCCTGGAGATGGTGACCGGCCGAAGGAATAACAGCGCATATGACTCTGAAATAGACTCCGTGTCTGTGCTGAGCCATGTAAGTGCACGATGTTGCTAAGAATGATTTTTCATGTGGGCCCCATTTATTTCTTCACATGCGTGCTCGTATATGAAATCAAAGGTCTGTGCAGGTCTGGCACAAGTGGAGAACTGGTTCGACATCAGATGTGGTTGACCCATTGCTGGCCGAGTCGGGGTACCCGGAAACTGAGGTCGTCAACTGCGTTGAGATCGGGCTCCTATGTGTCCAGGAGAACCCGTCCGATCGGCCGGACGCCTCTGCTGTGGTGCTTATGCTCAGCAGTCCATCCTCCACTTCCGATGACAGGCGAGCCCCGTCCAGGCCAGCCTTCGCCTTCAGCTCCGGCTTCACTGCTGCTGCCTCAGGTGGCCCAACAGCCGGTTCTTGGAGTTCGGACAGTGTGCTGATTGGCGATCAGCAGCGCTCAACGGCCGCGGTTTCGGAGAACGAGGTGTCCATCTCAGAGCTTCAGCCGAGGTAGATTTGTGTGCAGCACAGGGTGCAGAGCACAAGCCACAAGCTGAGCTCAGTTCAGCCTATAATTAATCTCATGCATGTTAAAGCAAGTAGTACCAAGTTTACTTCAAGGTCAGGTCAAGCATACCACATGCTAAAGACTGGAGAGAAAAAAACAGAGTAAAATTGATACCCACGAGACTGTCATGTGCCAAATACATGTACATCAAAGTGATATCATCATTGGTACAGGAAAGGTTTTTTACTGGCAGGATTTTTTGTATCTTTACAGCTGGTTTTACGAACTGCTAGTGTGAGACAGGCTGATCTTCCCTAAGAACCCACATCGATGGGAAGGTTTGTAACCTTGGTGTCGGCTCTTCACCACCTAGAGCTACAGGTGGTTGCAAGGGTCGGGTTGTTCACCCGTTAATGCGGTACGTGAGCTAGGTTTAGAACGTTGTGAGATAGTTTGAATCTGGTGTGGGCATTACCGCATTAAGAGGACCTTTCCCTAGTACGAGAGGACTAGAAAGGACGCACCTCTGGTATACCAATTATCGTGCCTACGGTAAACGTTGGGTAACCAACAAAAATGGTCACATTGCACTGGGGTCGGCTTGAGAACTGCCTACGTAAATCCATTTACACTAGCGGGAAACTTAAGATAACCGCCTATACAAACATTTACAGGGGTGATTTATGCAATGAAGCCGCCTCTATTAATTGATTTCTAGAGGAGGCTAAATAACATAAACCACATGTACAAATATTTTAAAAAATTCAAATGCTTTCCGCCGTATTATTATTAAACTTGATCACGTTCAAATTTAAATAGACATCATAGCCAAATTATAACAGCATAACAAATATACATCATATACAATTATATTTACATACATGTATCCACAAACACAAATAATTAATGCATTCTACCATAGTCATCGATCAAGTATGTACATTAAACATACACTACTAATTAACTTGTTAGAGGGAACTTTGGAAAAGCTCGTAGTAAAACCCTGCATACTCACCTTAGAAGTGGGTAAAGAGGCTGATCACCTCACATATGGGAATCACGACTCATGGAAAATATTATACGACCTCTGCAGAGTGTTATTAAAACTGACATATCAGCCGTGCTCACGGTTACGAGTGGCTTGGGAAACTTACGGAATAGTTGGTTATTATTATTACTCTATGATGTTGTTGCTCATGATTAATCATTATTATAATATTGTCATTGCTTATGATCATGTGGGAATTGGAGCTTAAGCATAACTTAGCGACTCAGGTTTTAACTTTAAAACTTGGTCTACTTACCGCAGTTCAACCACTTTTGAGCTCTCATATACCCCACATGCTATATTGTTGAGTACGACATGTACTTATGCTTGCTTTACATTCAAATTTTGGAAAAAAATCTGAATGGGTAACAGAAGGTAGAGCTTGGTTAGGTTTCTAAGAAGTGCTTGGTGTATGTTACTGTCCCTGTGAAGTTGGAGCCTGAAGAAAAGATTAGTGGCCGAAGACGGTAGTGGCGGCACGGGTCCTGCGGTGCGGTGGGGTGGTAGCGTCAGCATGACAAGAGCTCATAGACGCCAAGGAGGAGCTGCTGCGCTGGGAGTTGGGAGGCGAGCGCACCGGATCCAGGGAAGAAGAGTGGAAACTACGTCTTTTCTTCCCAACGCAGGATCGTGCAATTTCTTCGTTATTGATTCGAGTGAAGACGTGGTTTCTTGTTTAGAAGCGGCTTTCTTTAATTTTCTCTCTTCAATAATTATCTTGCCACATCAGTAAAATAGTTAGGTGGCATTATAATTAATGTTCATCTGCATTGTGAGTGTCGCGTGTCCCGTGCCTAGTTCTATGCATATGCATACTTCTTTTAATTGCATTTACGTTTCTGTGCAGTAGCTAGCTGTGCTATCACCTCGGTCAAGTCTTCGCCAAATGCCGGTACAGTTTCCACTACCGCCCGGCGCCCCCGGCCCACAGCAATCATGCATCCAAGACTCCAAGTGGAGATGCGATGAGAGCGAGGCTCATAGTACACATTCGTCTCGCCATAACCACCTCTCGTCCCTGTTGTTAACTTGCATTGCTACATAGGCAGATAGCTAGCTACTTGGTCGTCCTAGCTCAGAGTACAACCAATGCCGTCGTCTAGATCCGTCGTCCACCGCCATAGCCAGTGCCTGATGATCCTCTTTGCCATGGTGGCGAGCCTCTGCACCGTCGTAACATCCATGGACAGCAACTGTACGTTGGTGCAGTGCAAATCGTCGATGGCGCCTTCTCCAGCAGCTCCGGCTCCCTCGCCGGCGTCGTCCTCCTCTTTCAACAGCACGTTCTGGTTCAACGTCGTCGCGCTACTGGACGTGCTCCCGTCGGCCGCGGCGCCCACAGGCTTCGCTTCCCTCGCCCGCGGCAACGGCACCGACCGCGCCTTCGTCCGAGGCATCTGCCGCGGCGACACCGCGCCGCCCGACGGCTCCAGGTACCTCCGGAGCGCCGCGCTGGGCATCCAGAGGAGCGGCTGCAACAGCAGCCGCCGCAACGCCATCTGGTACGACGACGGCTCCACGGTGACATATCCGGCGCCGATGATGTCCTTCATCAGCTACGCCGACACCAACACGTCGACCAGCGACGAGGATGCGTTCCGGTGGGTGGACCACAACACCGGGGAGGTCTCCGACAAGGACGCCTTCGAGGAAACCTACAACGCGCTCATTAGTAAACTCACCGCGCGCGTCGTCAACGGCTCCGCCGCGTCGTCATCGCTAGCGCCGATGTTCGCGACAGGAGAGGCCGTGTATGACAGCGCTGCCCGTAACGGCACCATGTACGGGCCACTGCAGTGCATGAGGGATAGGACGGCGGCGGAGTGCGACCGGTGCTTGCAGGACTCGATAAGGCTGCCGCCACGCTGCTGCTACGGTAACCAGGGCTGGGTGGTGCTCGGCTACAACTGCTACCTGCGCATGGAGATATACCCTTACTACGATCTGGCCCCTCGATGCGCCGCTGCCTCTAGCGGCACCTCCGTCCATCTTCGCCGGAGAAATGCAGGGTGAGCTTCTGAATGTCTTCACTTCTACAATTTTCATCGGATAGGATATGATCTCTACACAATTCCTATATCAATCAACTAAAATTAATTTTAACGAGAAGATATCCCATAGAATTTAGAATGAAATTTGGAGATGACGTGGTCATGTGGATAGCTTGCAATTAAGAAGTTAGATGTTATTGGAATAACATGGTGATCAGGGGCGAAGCCACATTGATCTTGCCTCGTGCCCATGCACCAGGGTAAGAAAAAAATTACCACTTACTAGATAAATTTTCACCATGTATTGCTACCAGATTAATATATGTTTCCTTAGTTGTGCACCACCATGAATTTAGAGTTGGCTTCGCCCCTGAAGGCAATTAGTGGAAGATAATGTTGATAGTTAGTGAGAATGATGTGGACATGTTGAGATAAATTTGTAGTGAGAATTAACTTTACTACGTATAAGAGATACTACTCAAGTCTTCTAAGGGCACGGCATTTTTTCATATTTTAATAGAAGTGAGAGGAAATATATATCTTAATCAAGAGTTAGGCTCATACATATATTTTAAGAATATATAAAAGTGTCATGTAGACTTAATCATACTATAAATTATTGCTAAAAACTAATACTGTTGAAGAGATTGGCTTAGAGCCAGTAGTTTATCCTTACCATTGCGGATGCCCCCTGAAGGCCACGGCCCACGAGAGGATCGGTAGAGCTAACCTCATAATTAAGTCAACTCGCGTCATCCAAGTTATTTGTGAGAACTTTTAGATAACATTTGACCAAATTACCTTAACAATTGCGAGCATCAATAATGCAACGCAGGAAAAAAGGTGTTCGCTACGGCTCTCGCCATCGGCCTCCCTATTGGAACGGTGCTTGCCTGTACGCAGGAAAAAAAGGCCGCAGTCGTCATCATTGGTGTTTTCCTGTACCGCAAAAAGGCCGCCAGCTCCAAGAAAACGCTACCAGGGACGCCCATAGTCCTAGGAATTTTTTTATTTCAGCCAAAAAAATAGTATTTAAAAAAAAAGTACGTCACAAACTAAAAGTACTTATGTATCTTTAAAATTCTACAAAATTTTTAAGTAGACGCTAGAACATAACCACGACTCATTTTACTTTGTATCTCACATCATACCACTTGTAGGTTTTAACTTAAAATTCTCCTCGTAATATTGTATTTGATTCTTAAGTTAACCTATTTAGCCTTCAAAGGAACTAAAAATCTAGAAAAAACTTATCTAAATTCATGGTTCAGAAAATAGCTTTTATAGTGTAATTTATCAGTATACATGTTTAGGTGAAATCCGAAGTTTCTTAACAAAGGACATGCCAAAGTTAAGTTTTAATTCGAAACTAAGTTTAAAAGCTCCATGTCCTTGCTTGAGGTGTTGATCACTTTGATCTTCACGTTGCCTGTTCAAGTCCATTCTTTGTATATGAAAATTTTAGCAGCATATTAACCTTATATATGAAAATTAAACTTGTATATTTTAAAATATATATATATATATATATATAATTTTAGCAGCATATTAATCTTGTACTAGAGCATGTTGTCTTAGAAAAATCATATATCTCATGTATGGTGACGGATAAATATACTTTGTATATAAAAATTATAGCGCTCGATGAGATCTACAAATTCATAGTTATGAAATTTGTCATTCGTGGTCATTGAACTGGTCAAAAAATAATATAAAGTTTAGACCTGGATGAGACCCGAACTGACTTTAGGACCTAGAAATGCATTTTGAGACTTTGGAGACCTCGACGACACATGCAGATAACTTCAGATATGGCTGCATTTCACTCTTACGCCTATGTACAGCCCAAACTAGTACTACGAATCTATGTATCGCTGTGTGTTTACCATGCGATCTGATTCGAAGTCGAGGTCTCCAAGGGTATTCCCAAACCAGAGTCCATAGTCCCATATATAGTTGATTGAGATATGCTTGATTTTAAAAGGAGCTGGCTAGATTCCACTCAACAATAATGTCAGCTTTACACGGTTACACCATATTTTAAGTCCACCTCTTCCTCATGGATATGCATATATGCTGCCTTTTGTAACAGACAACAGTAATAGCAACCAGGACGATATCGGATACGTTGAGCCCGAGCAACTCAATCTAGTGGTGTTAAGAGCTGCAACAAACAATTTCTTTCTTTTTTTTGAAACTTACAAACAATTTCTCGGAACAAAACAAACTCAGAGAGGGAGGCTTTGGAGAAGTGTTCAAGGTACATTTTCTTCCATATATACACATACAGTCGTGAGAATTACCACCCTCTACCCTAAATCATAGGTCATTTTGGCTTTTCTATATACATAGCTTTCACTGTAAACCTAAATATACAATATGTCTATATACGTAATAAGTTGTGCATCTAAGAAAAGCAAAATGACTTATAAATTGAAACGAAGGGAGTATATATTATCTTGAATTGGCAGTGTAAAGTGTCTACAACAATTAAATAATTAAAAAAGCACAATATAATATATACCAGTGATTATCGAAAATGGTAATAGCAGGTGCTTTGCCTTGTGCAGGGTACATTACAAGACGGGGAAGAAATAGCTGCGAAGAGGCTTTCACAGAATTCCTCACAGGGATTCCACGAGCTGAAGAACGAGATTGTGCTGGCTACCAAGCTGGAGCACAGGAACCTGGTGCGGCTGCTGGGGGTTTCCCTGCAAGAAGAGAAGCTGCTGATCTACGAGTACATGCCCAACAGAAGTCTAGACACCTTCCTTTACGGTATCCATCGAAATACTGTTAAAATCAAAATAACTGAACTAACCTGAATTGATACTCTATATATACTGTGTTTAATATGTTCTTGTTTTGTAAGTAAAAACCCAGTGAAACGGCAGCAGCTAGATTGGAGCAGGAGGTTTGCCATCATCAACGGTATTGCACGGGGACTTCTCTATCTCCACGAGGAGTCCCGTTTGAAGGTCATCCACAGAGATCTAAAGCCGAGCAGCGTATTGCTTGACGCGGACATGAACCCCAAAATTTCGGATTTTGGAATCGCCAGGGCTTTCGGCAGAGACCAATCCAGAGATATAACAAGACAACCTGTTGGAACCCTGTAAGTATAGTCACTAGTCAGTCAATACACTACCCTTGATTGCTCCTAATTCTTAATTGGGAACGTATGAATTGTAGAACACTCGATGTATTACTCAATGAATATCAGTGTACATATAGGCACTGTAGGAGCTTGGGTCGGCAGGCCCACGAGCCGGTTTACTCTCTGACATTAATGGCTAATCTTGATTGCAAGTTGTTGACGTATGCAGCGGGTACATGGCCCCAGAGTATGCTTACTGGGGGCATGTCTCCTCCAAGTCAGACACGTTCAGCTTCGGTGTTATAGCTCTGTTCGGCAAGATTTATTGCTATTGTGGTTGATTTATAGAGCTGATTTGTTATGAGAGAAAAACACTGTTTCATGGCTGAAAAAGTAGGACTGATTCTGGCTTATAAGCTCAAGCGAACAGAGCCTATGTTGAGCCACGTAAGTGCATCATGTTCTTTGGAAAATTGTCATGAAGAAAGATTTCTCAATAGAATATGGGCTTTGGTCTGTTTGGACTTTGAAATGATGAAATCCCCCCATCCTCATGGGAAGGGGATTAACCGACCATCAGTGCATGTGCAGGTCTGGGACAAGTGGAGGACTGGTTCCACAGCGGATGTGGTGGACCCATTGCTGGCAGTGGCGGACCCAGGATCTAAGACCAGGGTAGTCCTGGTAAAAAAATTTCATGTGTAACACTATAAAATCCAAACAAAAAGTTCGACAAACATAGCTATAAATTAACCAAATTACGATAATACATTTAAAAGGTTCGAAACTTACATAAATACTCCCTCCATACTGGTAAAGAAAGTTGTTTAGGATATGATTTAGCATACCAAGGAGTGATTAATTAAGGGGTATTTTTTTTTCTGTTTTCTCTTATTAAATAGAGTTGCGGGTATCACCTATCCAACAAACTTTCGTAGCTGGATTGGTAAGCACGCTGTAGCCTGAGGCACAAGGTCCCCGGTTTGATCCCTCTCGGGTGCGTTATTTTTTTGAAGAGCTCGTGGATTTACGGTGTCTTCGGCCTGGGCTGAGACGAGAGTGACCGTGGACCGATTTCTAAAGAGTAGTAATAAAATTTTAGACCAAATTTATGGGTAGTCCTTGGCCTACCTATGCTACCTGCTGGGTCCGCCACTGATTGCTGGCCGAGTCAGGGTACCCAGAGTTCGAGGTCCTCACCTGCATAGAGGTCGGGCTCCTTTGCGTCCAGGAGAACCCGGTGGAGCGGCCGGATGCCTCCACAGTGGTGCTTATGCTAAGCAATCCGACAACCACGCCTGAAGACAGGCGAGCCCCGTCCAGGCCGGCCTTAATCTTCAGCTCTGAATTCAGCACTGTCTCAGATCGCCCCGGAACCGGCACATGGAGCTCTGATCAACAGCCGTCAATGGCCACAGTTTCGGAGAACGATGTGTCCATCTCAGAGCTTCAGCCGAGGTAGATATGTGAGCACAAGCTGGAGCTTCAGCTTCAGCCTATAATTAATCTCATGGATGGGATGTTAAAGTAAGTAGTGTTAGAATTAAATGTGTACCTCTGTGTAACTGTAACACCCTAAATTTTACAATATTTTTAAATAGGGGAAATTGATTTGTTAAGCATTTTATGGGCATTTGAATTTAGGAAATAATAATTTTATTAGGAATAAAATCAAATATAGGTCGACAACCATGAATGTGCATATATGCCACTGCATACTATTTTGAATTGCTTGGTTTGAAGTTGGATTTCGAATTGAGTTGAAATTTCATTTTGAACTTGCTTTGAAAAAAAATTCAAAAAAAAAGAAAATGAATAAATCTTCTCCTCCTTCTTTTAACTTTCTGACCATAGCTAGCTCCTCCATTCCCTCTCCAGCCGCTATGCAGCTCCTTGTCTCCGCTCGGGGTCAAGGCAGTGTTTCTTTCGCTTTGGCCCGCGCTCTTCACCGCTTGGGCCGAAGCAAGCCCGAACTGCCGGCCTAGCCACGCTTAGTCCAGTAGTCGTTGCTCGCCGGCTACGACCAGCCGCCTGGTTAGGCTCTTCTTCCTCGCCGAAGCTGAGCGGGACACCGCCTCCCGTGAGTCCGTGGTCGCTGCTTGTTTCTCGGCACCCCACGCCGCCTCTTAAATAGCGCCTGCACCCTCCTCTCTCAATCTCATCTAGCGCCGTTTTCTGGCTTAAGCAGCCGCACACCGCTTCGGCCGCGACCGTGGACCTCGCCGCCGAAGGCGCCGTTACCGCTTCCTTTCGTTTTCGGATCGGGTGATATCCCCCCTCCTTCTCTCTCTCGCGATTTCTCTCTTTTGTCAAATAGAGCTTTTAAATCGGAAGGCCGGCCAGCGCCATGCACCCTCCTCTCTCCCCAATCTCATTCTTTCGGTTTTTATCTCACATGGATCGATTCTCAGCCGCAGATTCAACCGGCTTCTAATCCGCGCCGCCGTCGAATGGGCGAAGATGTTTTCCAACCGGCCCGATTAGATCCGTTTCGTCGTCGCTTCCAACTTTTATGAACTTCCCTCTATATTGCTTTTTTGATTCTCTCTCCCTAAGGACTTATCTGTGTAGTGATCATCCAGACTTACAAGATGTACCGTGAGAGCTACATGGCTCGCTTTAGCTCAAGAGTGAGGACCTTTTCTAGCTTGTTAGTGGTTACCTTTATTATGGCGTAAGAATGGCTTGATTACTCAATAGCCCTTGATCTCATTTCATCTTTCAATTTCATATCATTTACTTTTGTTCATTCCATTACAGATTAGCTCATAGAGCATGTCTCATCGTCACGGTCCATTGCCAATAGACTTAATAGCTACAACTCACTACTCTGTTCTGAAATAGATACTTATCTTTGGGCCTTTTTTGTCCAGGAATTTTATAGGCTTTCCCTTAAACCCATGCTAGCTACATGTTCTCTGAACACGTTGGGTGGTAAGCCTTTTATAAGCGGATCCGCGAGCATCTTTTCTATACTTATATGCTCAAGACTTATGACTTGATCCCGAACTTTATCTTTCACAATATAATACTCTATGTCAATGTTTTTGGTAGCACCACTTGACTTATGTTGTGAGTATACTGTACTACCTGATTATTATCGCAGTATCACTTAAGTGGTCTATAGATGTCGTCAACCACCTTCAAACCGGATATGAACTTCTTTAGTCAGTTCACCTGGCCGTTGCCTCATAACATGCTACAAACCGTCACACATTGTGGACGATGTAGTGACAGTTTGCTTTGAGCTTTTCCATGAAATAGCTCCCCTTTGCGAGACGATAGAAAATCCACGTCTGGATATGTATTCACTCTCGCATAATCAGAATATGAATATCTCACTATATGGAATGAATCAGATCTTCTATATATCATCATGAGGCCTTTCGTTCCTTATAAATAATGCAAGACTTTCTTTACTAATTTCAGTGTTCTATTCCAAAATTGCTCTGGAATATGCCAAGTAAAACCCAGTAACAAATGCCAAGTCAGGGCGCGTACATACTTGAGCATGTTGCAAGCTTCCGACAGCTGAAGCATATGGAACCACTTTTACTTTATCGATTGAGCTCATATTGGTTCCTGGGGCATTGAAAATTCCCATATTTATCATCCTTGACTATAGGAGCAGGTGATGGACTACATTTGTGCATACTGAATTTCTTTAAGATATTTTCCATATATGCCTTTTGTGACAGTCCTTATACCCTTTTTCTTCTATCTCGGTGAGTCTCGATCCCTAGAACGAACGAGGCTTCGCCAAGATCTTTCATATCAAATTTCTTTGTCTCCAGTAGTAGACTGACATCACTACTAGCAAGTAAGATATCATCTACATACAGGACAAGGAAGATAAACTTCCCATTCTTAAACTTTGTATTGACACAATTGTCCTCTATATTCTCTTTACTTTGTATAGACACAATTGTCCTCTACATTCTCTTTAAAACCCAAAATCCTTTATTGTCTGATCAAACTTCAAGTACCACTATCTTGAAGCTTGTTTTAATCCATAAATGGATTTCTTTATGCGACATTCCATTCGTTCTTTTCCTTCCATGATAAAACCTTTCAGTTGTGCCATGTAAACATTTTCCTCCAAGTCTCCATTGAGAAATGTCGTCTTTACATCCATCTTATGTAATTTTCAATCGTAATGTGCCACTAATGCCATTATGATTTTGAAGGAAGCTTTATATGAGACTGGAGAAAAAGGTCTCATTATAATCAATTCCTTCTCTTTGCATATAGCCTTTTGCCACAAGTCGCACTTTATATTTCTCTATATTCCCTTGAGAGTCAAGTTTTGTTTTGTAGACCCATTTACAGCCTATTGTATTGGCTCCTTTAGGAATTATTTTCAAATCCCAAACTTTATTGGCATTCATCGATTTTATTTCATCTTCCATGGCCTCAAGCCACTTTGATGAATGATTACTTTTCATGGCTTATTCAAATGAGGTGGTATCATCCTCCATTTGAAATTCTTTAGTGTTGTACACTTCATAATCAGCAGGAATAGCTGATTTACTAACTCTTTGAGACCTTCTAGGGGCCTCCATATTTGGCACATCTTTTGTTTGAGGCTGTTGTTGCTCCCCCTCATTTGTGGTAATAGGTTCTATAGGATCCTGAAGAATAGGTTCCTCATCGTCATTCATTGTTGCCACAGGTGGGATAAGAACAGGTGCTGGCACCATAGTATCTAGCACTATCGGTGCAGCACAACAGGTAGTGAGAAAAATGGCTCATGAATCATTGGAGTGGGCGTATACACCCGCTTCACTTCAAGGTCAATTTCTCGAGCTACCATGCTCCCCCTCATCAATTCATCCTCTAGGAAGATAGCGTGTCCCGTTTCCACAAACTTTGTATGTCTCTCTGGACAGTAGAAACGAAAACCTTTTGACTTTTCTATGTAGCCAATGAAATGGCAACTTACTATTTTTGGAATCTAACTTCCCAATGTTTGGGTTAAATACTTTAGCCTCAGCAGGGCTCCCCCACACACACGCAAGTGGTTTAGTGAGGGTACTCTTTCTATCCACAACTCATACGGTGTTTTGGGCACCGACTTTCTTGATACTTCATTGAGAATATGAATGGCCGTTTTCAATGTCTCCATCCACAGGCTCAACTGTAAGGTGGAGTAACTTATCATATTGCCCACCATATCCATCAGGGTACGATTGATTCTTTTAGCTACTCTATTCTGTTGAGGTTCATTTTGGAGACAAAAGAATTGGTAGAATCTTGGGCTACTATGCCATTCTTTTAGGGTATGTCGACCGTAGTACTCCTCCACGGTCAGACCTGACTATCTCAATCTTTAATATCTTAAATTTATCCAATACATCTTTTCTTTCTTTGATTGGATAAATATAGCCGTAATGGGAATAATCATCAGTGAATGTCATGAACGAATCATAACCATCCACACTCTTTGCAGAAAAGCTTACCACAGATGTCTGTGTGAATAATCTGTAAAATTTCTACGCTTCATTTGTCATCTTTATTTATATACTTTCCTTTTATGCATTCTAAGAGCTCTAATGGAGGAAGAATATCATTCTTAACTTGTCTTTCTATTCTCCCCCTCGAAATATGGCCTAAACGACAGTGCCATAATTTCGATGACGCATCGTGAGCTCTCTTATGCCATTCTTTTATCAGAGTAACACTCTGTCACCAGCTGTTTTATCAGCTGGGTAGCATATGTCTTTGAAGAGCCAGTGAACTGACTCTTTATTCTATCGAGGTACTCGGTGACCGTGTCACACTCTGGGATTGAGCCCACAATTACAGGTTCAATCATGTTCTTTATCACAGCCAAACATTTCTTGTTTGCAGTGACCCACTTCCTATGCTCCAAAGCCATAGGACATCTTTTGGGATTCAAAATCCCTTTCTTTAGTTGCCCAAATGGCATTATTCTGTTTTGTCTCCCTCACCGGTACCACAAACTCAGTGGAACACGGTGAGGTGACTACCCAGTCCACCTTAGACAAGATGAAAACTAGGTCAAAACTTTTCTTATCATATAAATAAACACCATTTGCATGCATTGATTCCAACGTTGGTCAAAATCAAAACATACAACTGTTCGTATACACTAATTCTACATCATCGTTGGGCAGAAATAGAATTAATGCATAAATCATTAACTTTCACAATTATTCTCACACACTAATTCTACATCACCGTTGGGCAGAAATAGAATTAATGCATAAATCATTAACTTTTTATGTTCTTATGCACATTTAGCCCACGCCAATAGACTAATTCTACATCACATCACCGTTATAGTAAGTAGAATTAATGCATAAATCATTAAAATTATCAACTTTTCTTATACACTAATTCTACATCACCGTTTTTTGCACCAGTAGTAAATAGAATTAATGCATAAATCATTAAAATTATGATATTGTTATTAACAACGTTGGTCAAAAAATAACAACATCATAATCATGTCAAATCTTTTTTTTCTCTAATTAAATACCACATTGGTTCAAAATAACTGGAGAATCAATATTTTCTTTAGCATATGGAAAAACTTTCTTTTTCTCCAATTAAATACCACATTGGTTCAAAATAACTAGAGCATAGACAACTTTTTTTGGTCTCGTGGAAAACTCTCTTTTCCTTGAATTTTACCCACGGTGGGGAAAATTGTATTTTCGATTTCATTTAATCCATTAATCAATTTCCGTGAAATAAAGATTTAATCGAAAACTTTTCTTTTCTCTCCATTAAATATCACGTCGATTCAAAATCCTCCAAGTTGGAGAATATACTTTTTTTGCTTTAAATCCTTTAAATGAAAACATTATACTCAATTTCTTGAATTTTACCCAGGGAAAAATTACATTTTCTATTTTTCTTTTGAACCATTTATTCATTTTCCAAGCCACTTTGAAATAAAATCTTTCTTGGTAAATGAAAAAACAAAACAGATTCAAAACCTCATTGTTTAAATTTGGAATCGTTGCTCCCCCTCATAAAGGTAGGATCCGAAGAATATATCTCTCGCAAGACAGTGTGCCGCACCAGTACTCCAAAGCAAAGCAAACAGTAGTGAGAAAAATGGCTCATGAACATTGGGCTGGGCGTAAAGTCGCTTCACTTCAAGAAGTCATTCTCGAGCTACCATGCAATTCATCCTCACTTTCCACAAACTGCCACAGTGAAACGCGAGTCGAGCCTGGCATCTGGCGCCGTTGGATCTCGACGACGGACGTTTAGTGGCGTGTTTTGGGCGATAGGGAGAACAACCCCCCCGCCTGCCGCACCCCAAACCCTAGTCATTTGCATCCTTTTGCCTCTCTCTCTCTTCGGTCTCTCTCTGTCATTCGCCGCTCTCTTCTCTCTCATACGACCATCCCACCGAGAGGACACCGAGCGAGTGAGCAAAGGCGGTGGAGCGACCGACCATGGCGCTATTGTTGCTGGCCTCGCCGGTGCGATCGTGAGCGTGCTCCCCGACGGTGAAACATTGCCCGTCAGCTGACTCTTTATTCACGGCGCCTTGAGTCGAGAGCTTGCAAGTGACTCACTTCCTATGAACAGCCCCACCCCTTTCTTTGGCTGGCCCTTCTCTCCCCCCACAAACGCGCGAAAGGGCCATCTCGATCCGACAAGATGAAAACTAGGTTTGTTGTCCTTGTTCTGATTCCCTTTTCCTTTCTCTTTCTCCGATTTGGATTGATCTCAATTTTTCCGAACCGGAGGTGGGGATTAGGGTTAGGGTTTCTTTGATTCCTTTTCTTTCTTTTGATTTGACCGATTCGGTTTTCCTCTTTGGAGTTCATCCATAATCGGGATCTAGGTTAGGGTTATTTTCTGTGCCGACTACCGCTTTCTTTTTCTTCTTTGGATTTTTTGTTTTCTTTGATCTCTTTCTTTTCGGACTTCTCCTCCTCAAGAGCTTTCATGGGTTGGGTTAGGGTTAGGGTTCTTGAGATCCTTTTCCCTTTCTATTATTCTCGATCCGAACACGGATCTTTTCGTTAGGGTTTCTTTAGATCCTTTTCCCTTTCTATTCTCTCGATCCGAACATGGATCTTTTTTTTTTTGTTGTTGTTTAGCCGCTCGCCTGGTGAGAACGGCAAGGCGGCATCTCTTCTCTGCGGTGTGGCGGTGGTGACCGGGTTCTAGTGACGTCCCCTCCGCCCCCCCGGTCCTTTTCGCTTTGCTTTTACCCGGTTAGGGTTAGGGTTACACAGAGGCAACCTGGCTCCGATATCATTGTTAGAATTAAATGTGTCCCTCTGTGTAACAGTAGATCCGGTAAGCCTCTCCTTGTCTTCTCGGTAGATGCACCGCAGCGGGTAGACGTCGGTGCCGCAGTGTAGAAGACGTCCAGCGAGGTGGCAGTGAAGTCCAATGGCGCTGGTGGAGAGACGACGGTCCGGTGGTGACCCTGCAGTGGGGCGACAGCGATGGTGGGACACATCCCGTCACTGGCAGCACGACCTTTAGATCGGTTTAGGGTTCCTGTGAGTGGGATGGCGGCTCCGTTCAACCTCGTGACCCGAGCTCAGTTCCCCACTCCTCTATATATATGTGCTGTGCGATAGGAACCCACGAACCAGTTAGGGTTGGGCTCTCCCGATCAGGGAGCAGAGACAAGGACCCAATAGACCGTTGAGCCTATTGGTGGAGATCAACTAAGTGTCGAACCAAGATTACTTCATGGGCAAGGGCAAGGGCACGCATGCCATAAAACGAGGACAAGTGTAGAAACCTGGATCAATAAAACAGCTGTGGACAGAGAACCATACGTGCGTCCAACGGTTTGACAAATGCCATATTAATGTATTATTATCAATAACCGTATTCAGATCCTTCCATAGTTCATTTCACTGAGATTCTCGGCACTTCCACAAATCATTTCACTCATCTTTTAAATATTTGCTTTTCGCCTTTTCCTATCAGCTCTACAACTTTTTACAATTGCATTCATGGGATATACAGAGCCACTTCCATTTGGCCGCAATCAGCCATCCCAACAGATCACAAATTGATCATAACTCTGATAAATCTTAGCACGGTTATGCGTCGTTGAGGAGTTTATGATATGGAATCATGCATTGGACAATCGAAACCTTCACCATCGTGCTTCTCTTCCTGCCATACATGCAGCCACACATGTAAATGACATGGTTGGTTTGCTGCATTTGCCGACTTGAGAATAACACATGTATGAGCAGGACCATGATAAATTGTTCCAATGCTCCTTCACCAGTAAAACAGTGCACGCCTTGTCATGCTGAGACGAGAAATGGTACTGCAAAACACATAATGTGATTATTAGTATTGACAAAACAGAACACTGATTTCAACCTATACTTGTTGCACTTGCCAAGATTTTCTGAATGTAAATTTTCAAATATACGCCATAACACTGTATATCAATATGTGCAACATGATCGTAGCTTTTTTGAGCCTATGTTAATTGATACTCCCTCCGTTTTAAATTATAAGACGTTTTGGTTTTTCTAAACACATTGCTCTTACTATCTATCTAGAGTCTAGACACAGTGTATATCTAGACGCATATCAAAAGCTATGTATCTAGAAAAGGCAAAACGTCTTATAATTTGAAATGGATGGAGTACCAAACAGAGGAAAATAGCAAAACAAAGCCACCCCAAAAGCATGGATATACTAGAAGTTATGCTATAAACTACTTATGATAAAAAAAACAAATTCATGCTAGATAAGTTTGGCACTGACCAATCAAAAAGATGCTCAACACCAGTAAGAGGGTGATCCGAATAGAACGACCAAATTGAATGTTCTGTTGTTGGCCTTGTATATGAAGCCCACCTGTCCGTCCAGAAATTCTGGAATTTTCCTTCCAACTTGTCAAATAATTTCTGCTTCTTTCGGCTAGCCCATTAAATCTCTGTAAAACATAAAGAACCACTGGATTCAGAAATTAGCTAAAGTGATAACACCAACAAACTTAATTGGATGTCATTAACTTTGTGGACCAGTCAAAAGGAGCATATTTATAAAATGGATCATGCAGTAAAAGAAATAAAAATATGTTAGCTATGCATAAAAGTCAATGTCACATGCTTAGCCCAATAAAAATGTAAACCAGCAAATAACATTCAGGATTTAGGATGTAGCAATATTTCATATGCATTGGCATACAGTTGCCAAAATAAATCGAAGTTCTCCCTCCCATGACGATCTTGAGAAATATCATAACATCAATCATTGTTTATATACTGTAAGTGGTATATGACATGAATGCAGATTCACAGTTTGTAGGTTCAAATAGATTACATATTACAGAAAGGAAGGTTTGATTTCATTATACAGCCATTAGGGATGCTACACTATTGAGTCAACATCTCCAAGGATTGTTTGCACACACATATGTCCAATAAGTTGCTCTCGATAAGATCATATTACATATAAACATCTTAAATTTAGAATAGGGTGGGGCAGCAGAGGAAATTGATATACCTGTGTTAATAAGGATAGAAACCTGAGGTCAAGATTATTTGACATATCATATCTTAATGAGCGATTTTCATCACTCTTGGGTTTCCACAAGCTATTCCAAAACCATGTCACTCTTGTTAAAGATTTTGTGCTTCTCCGGATGCTTGATAAAGCAGTCTGACTTGTAGCCTGAACCCCAGTTGCGTTTGGGGACGATTTTCTATCATCAACCATCTCGTTACCAATGTCAATCTTCCAATGATCATTACCTACACTCAAATTTCTTCTAAGGCCATGTAACTCCTCAGCTAGACCACAAACATCACTCTTAACAGTAGAAATTTCTCTGCGTGGCACTTCATATATGTCTTTAATGATTAAAGCTGGATCACTCTGATCGTTCATGCCAACTCGCACATTTTTTTGTCTAGATGGGACATGGTTACTGCTGTCTGTGCTCTTCATTTCTGAATAGAAGTCTGCAGGTGCTGAAAGGAAAGCGACTAAATCATCTCGCTCCTCATCATCTAACTTCACCCAATTGAGCCCTTGCGTGCCATTGTCCATTAAAGAACCGTTTATGTCTTTCTCTACACGAGAAATTTGATCCTCAATGGCTACAACAAACTGCCGACGCCTTGCTACTGTACCCTCTTCCAGTGAATACTTATCGTTGCTTGAACTTACAGCCCTCTCAAACTGTTCCAACTGCACAGACAATCACTAGCAGTAATTAACAAGACCACAAGTCAGCTACTAGTATATAAAGGTTTATGTAAAAGCATGCCTGCCATTTTGCAGTCCCTAAAGCTGTCTGAAGCTCCCTTTGCAAATTGTCTACCTCCTCTGAGCTAGAACCATTACATCGCTCACGCATCCAAGTTCTATAGACAGATTCCATCCTGCATGGAGAAATTGTCAAATTCGAGGAAAATTGCATTAGAATATATGTTCCTGAATGCATTTGACTATTTGCAATTGTAAATGTCTGTTTCAACATGAGTTCTTATTAATTGTCACAACCCAAGCAGCATTACATGGCGAAATTAACAAATAGAATTGTCAACTGAAGCAAAGTTGTATTCTACTTGATTAGAATAGAGCATTAATTGCCCCAGCCATACAATACAAAACAAAAACATAAATCAACCCAATAAGATATGAGATGCCACCAAAGAACCAGTTTTTACGACATCACAATCTGAACTGAACGGAAAGAACGGACAAAATAGGTAGAGCCAGCAGTTCACCAATCAGAGCGCCGCAAAGAAGCATCCAAATCTCATCTTACCCCAACCGACAACCTAGCCCAGTAATCACTAATAAAATTAGTAGAAAATTCAAGAGTCTAGAGTTCTGGAGTCCGCAAGGACCGCAAACAAGCACGGGTCAGATCGGAATCCCATCTTAAACACAGTACATCAATAATCCACAAAGCAGTCAAGGAACAGCAACCCAACCTTCCAAAAAAAAGGACAAGGACAGTCACAATTCACGGCAAAAACAATCGCCAAGCGGTAGACATTTTTTGCATAAATAAAGTTCAAACTTTTGTAGCCCCGGGCGCAACGAATCGAAGCCAAGATGACGAAGGCACTCACAAGTCCGCCGACTCCTGCACCTCCTCGGCCGCCTGGAAGAACCCGTCCTTCTGCCACTGCTCGAGCCCTCCCGATGCCGCCATGTCGGCCGCCGCCGCCGCAGCTGCAGATCAAATCAGGAACGAGACACCCGACCGACTCCAAGGCACCAACACCAAGTGCGGTGGCTCCGAGCTCCAGGCGCCCCGCCTCAATGTCGCGCGGCCAGGCCAGTGAGCGAGATCCCGCGGGGGGCTGCCGACCAGGAGCTGCGCACGCCAAGAAAAGGCAGCGATTGCTTGCGCGCTTCCGCTCAGCGGGGAGGAAGCGGAAGCGGGGACAGGAGGGAGACGTAGGACGGTAGGAGGGGCGACGCGACGGGGAGGAGCTGGCGTAGGAGGGGAGGAGAGAGGGAGGGGGAAGTGAACTACTCCCTCGCTATATCGCCGCCCCCTGGTGCTGTTTCGTTTTGGTTCCGGTGGCTTCAGGAATCAGGATGTCAGCCTCGTTCTTCCCCACCACTACCAGCCCCAACCATATTTTCAGCAGAAGCTGTCAAGTGACTTCGTATATACTCACTCCGTTCCGAATTATGATTCGGTTTGATTTTTGTGGTATATTAATTTTGCTATATCTAGTAGTATTTTTTAGCAGGGAAATTTTCTACTTCCACAGTTTTATGGGTATTTTGTTGGAGCATAAATAATTGTATATTCACAGCACAATCCATGTGACATGCCTCCTTTTATTATTCTCTCCACGCAGCTAAGTAATTTATTTTGATTATATTAATTATTACTAGTTCTATTCTAAATTATAAGACGTTTTGGCTTTTCTAAATTCATAGCTTTTGTTATGCACTTAGATACAGTCTATATGTCAAATACATAACAAAAACAATGTACGTAGAAAACGAAAACGTCTTACAATTTAGAATAGAATGAGTCTTAAATATGTCCATGCATTATATATGTACGGTCATATGAAAACTCAGCTTAAAAAACAGTTATTGTGTATCCTTGTTGTGAAGTTAAGAAAGGACTACCAATCATACATATGTTATATCAAATAAATTACAAGACCTATAATGAATTATGTGAATAATCCGGTACGAGAAGTTGATTGGAGATGAACTCACTCAGCTTAAAAAACAGTTACCGTGAATTACAAGACCTATAATAATAATGAATTCTGCCGTGTAATTGGAGATTAATTAATAATCCGGTACGAGAAGTTGATTGGAGATGAACTCACTTAGCTTACTTACGCTTTCGTTCTTGCTTCGCATAAAAAGATTAACTCAAAATGATAGGATGGATTCAGTCAAGCCAAGATATGAACGATATGACACCAGCAAAGGTTTTATAGCTAAAAAAAGATGATATCTATTATCAAATTTGGATAGGAGTATAGAAATTCTCGGAAAGATGGCATCCACCCTTTTCTCAAATGGAAGTGCTATGTGCAGGGCGTCGGTCCCATTCGGAGGTCTCTTCCTAGGCCTATGGACCAGCCCAATAGACCTTCTGCGTCCGTCCCTTCTGTTGCTCCTGCCGCCGGCTCCTACTCCGCCGCTCGCCCCGCTCCTCCTGCTCCACGCATCCGCCCCGCCTGACAACACTGACCGGCGCCACCAGCGCAAGAAGAAGCGGCGAGCCTTGGTCTCGCCTCCTTTTACGGCTGCGGCGCCCCGATGTAGACAGCGAAGGAGACCGCACCGGGATATGATGCATGTTGCAAGTGTACATTTCAAAATTTTCAGATGTTTTAGATGTGTGTTGCAAGTGTTTTATACGGATGTTGCAAAAGTACATCATGTTGTTGCCTATATTGTAATGGTTGTACACGTATGTTGCAAGCGTCTGTCCTCAAGGTTTCATCTGTTTTTTCAGACGTTTGTTGCAAGTGTGTTTAATGGATGTTGCATATGTTCTACGCATATGTTGTAAGTTTTTATCTGGATGTTGCGTATATTTGCAATGGTTTTCAAATGTTTTTGCAACTATTTCAGACGTATGTTTCAAGTGTTTTATTTGTCTTCAAACGTATATTGCAAGTGTTGCATCTAGATGTTTGAAATATAGATCAGGTGTTGCACACAATGATACGTGCGGGAAGCAGAAGGGGGCGCGAGCGGCCCCTGCAGCGCGAGCCCCAGCGTGGGCGCGCGAAAAGAAGGTGCGGGGTAGGGGCTTACTGGCACGGGCATGGAGTCCAGGCGCGCGCGGCGCTGCCGTTGCTCAAAGCGTTGTTACAAGATAATTATCTCCTGTGACACTCTTTAATTAGGTTAGATTGCTACGGCAAGGCTTTATGCATCTCATTATCTTTCTAAACTCTAAAAAATTAAGATACAATACTTTGGGCATTGTTGAGATTGGGGTTAGAAATCAGTATTTGGCACTGTAGCACTTTTGTTTGTATTTGACAATTATTGTCCAATCATGGCCTAACTAGGCTCAAAAGATTTGTCTCGTAATTTACAATCAAACTATGTAATTAGTTATTTTTTTATCTACATTTAATACTCTATACATGTGTCCAAAGATTTGATGTGATGGAGAGAGAGTGAAAAAACTTGCAATCTAAACGAGGCCTTGAAATGTGGAGCCAATAACTAGCATACACTCAAAGAGATGGTCGCACATATTTTAAGATGTATTTCTTTCTCAAAACACGATGATTAAGACTATTTGCTTGTATCTTTCTCTTCTCTATATTTATAAGCTTAGAGTCGGTGCTAGCTCATACAATTAGAGATTTTCTTAGTAAAATCTCCTAATTATGACATCCTTCCTCGCAATGACATTACAAATTCTTAGGTTTTCAATGATGTTGTAAGATCGGTGCTCGTGGGCTTAACTTTGGAAGCTCTTGAAATTTTGAGCAACAATTCAGAGGTGCTCATAGAGGTAGGAGTGTGCGTGCGTGTGTTCATAGGCGAGTATGCGCTCGTGTATGTGAGCGTCTAGTTGTATAACGGGGTCTCGCAAAAAATACAGAGAGCAAACTAGAAACGCATGAATAAACAATACTACTCCCTCTCACAAAACATGTAAATCTTATTTGTCAACGCAAGTTTAGTGAAAATGTGAAATTACACATGTGCCCCTCCTACGTATTTCTTCTTGTGTACCAGAACTCAACATCAATCTAGAATGTTCCATTAAAGTATAACATGGGATGCATTGATTTTTCAAAAGTGCAATGTTTTTTTATTAGTGGAGTCCATCTAAAAAAATATCCTAAACTCTGGATTACATAAATTTTGAGATAAGAACAGCAGGATTACGTGTTCCGTGGGACGGACGGAGGGAGTACTACTGGACAAGAATTAATTATTCAGAAAAAATAAAGTGTCGGCTGTTTATGGCAGGTATGGCGCCAGCGCCAGAGGGGCAAAACCGGTAGCGAACAAAATAGTCGCTCGCTTGGATGGCGATGGTGGTGAGCCTGACTCGTGCGGCCATCCGTCCTTGACGCTGATGCGCCAGCCACACCCAAACCCAACAGTCCAACACACATGCTGCTGCTGCCTGCTGCAGCTGCTTTTATTTATGTACTCCGTACTGCTACTTGTTGTTGTGAAATAAACTCGGGCCTGTTTAGATCCCAGTTTGGAAAATAGACACAGTAGTATTTTCGTTTGTATTTGGTAAAAATTGTCCAATTATGAACTATTTAGGCTTAAAAGATTCGTCTTGCCAATTACGGGCAAACTGTATAATTAGTTATTCTTTTTACCTACATTTAATACTCCATGCATGTGCCGCAAGATTCGATGTGATGGGAAATCTTGGAAAATTTTAGATTTTGGGTGGGATCTAAACAGTGCCTTACTTCCATAGCAAAGTAGAGTTCATTGCTACAGTAATCTATTTATATAAGATAAGATATCTGTCAACTAAAAAAATAACGATGTGATTTGATCAATGTAATCAGATCTGTAAGGATGGCAATCTGGCACTGTTTGATCATTACATAATCCAAGAGAGAACCTTGAGCCATGATTACATATCATGTGATTAGTTGTGAGGGCCAATCATTTTTAATCAGCTGGCTATGCTCTGAGTCTGGAGGCACCAACCAAATTATGCACCGAATGACCTGTGCTACAGATGCGCCGGGTTTCTCGTGTACGGTGTACCTGAAAAACAGAACAGGAAGTACTCCAACAACAAACAAGTTGTGAGCCACAGTTTTCCAGTTACTGCTACTGTCCTTTGCTTTCGTGTACAAATATCTCTGCAGCATCAGTAAGGCCCTGTTTAGATTTTAAATTTTTACAATCCAGACACTGTAGCACGTTTCGTTTTTATTTTACAAATTTGTCTGATCATAGACTAACTAGGTTCAAAAGATTCGTCTCGTAATTTACAACAAAACTGTGCAATTAATTATTTTTTTTACCTATATTTAATACTTCATACATATGTCTAAATATTGATGTGACGGAGAGAGAGTGAAAAAACTTGAAATTTTGATGGGATTTAAATAAGGCCTAAGATAAATTGTTGTCGATTTAAAGTTGTACATCTTGGGATTCAGTGTGCTGATTGTGTGTGTGTTTTTTTTATATACGTATGTGTGACACTGTCTGACACAGACAGCAACCATCACTGGTGATTGCCTGAGTGGTGACCGGTGAGGACAAATATCTTACCCGCCCTTCCAATGATGTTGGCAGTTTGTGGCCACAATGCAAGGCAGTTCTCCACCAAAAGTCCCTACACTTCCAAATGGGGTGTGATAAGAGATTTATGAAAAGCATAAACGATACATAGGCACTTCAATTTGTTCACCTAGAGAGTTCCAGTGCTTTATTCGGGAAAAAAAAGGTTCTTATGCTTCCAAGTGGGTATGATAAGCGTGAAACCCCCAGATCGCCACTAGTGGGCATCCAATAGATTGTAATATATACGGAGTTAAAAAAAAAGCAAATGCTGATGGAACTCGCGGCAAAAAAAATTGCGTAACTAATCGTCATCCATAATATTCTTTTTATTAGAAAACTGCCCCAAATCCGTGCATGCCGTGACTATACATACACATATGTCTAGGTGGCTCGCGAAAAATTATACTCCATTTTCGTCTTCAAACAAAT